AAAGTACCCCAACCCAACGAACGGCAAACCGCAGCTTCCCTTCCTCTTCAAAGTGCTCTCCTTCGACAAGGCACTCCCGCTTCAAGCACATCCCGACAAGAGCCTCGCCGAACAGCTCTTCAAGGACGAGGACGAGAAGCAGGACGGCGCGCACGAGAAGTTCGTCGACACGAACCACAAGCCGGAAGTAGCAGTCGCGCTGTCCGAGACGTTCGAGGCGTTCGTCGGGTTCCGCCCGTCAGACGAGATCGTCCAGTTCCTGCGCGACGTTCCCGAGCTGCGGGAGCTGGTCGCAAGCGACGTCCCGACATCGAAGGAGCTTGACCGCGAGCTCAAGAAGACCTTCGGCAAGACCTTCGACGCCGACGCCGCAACCGTCGAGCGGCTAACCAAGTCACTGCTTGAGCGCGTAGACACGGAGGGCGACGCCGCGCTAGGGGAGATTGGGAAGAAGGAGGGCCTCGCGCGCGTAGTAAAGAAGGTACTGAAACAATACCCGAATCCGTCGACAGTGGACCAAAAGAGCATGTTCGCCGCGATCTTCTTCATGAACTTCGTCGTTGCGAAGCGCGGAGAGGGTATCGCCGTCCCCGCCGACTGCATCCACGCGTACCTGGAGGGTGACTGCATCGAGGTGAGGGTTCCTGCGCCGCGCTTGGACTCTGTTCGGAAACTCACGCAACGCGCAGTGCATGGCAACCTCAGATAACATGATCTCCTGCGGTTGGCAAGGCGCGATGGGTCCACCGGACGACGCGAGCCTCTTCGTGAAGATGCTCCTGCACAACCCGGGCCCCTCGCGCCACCTCGCGCTTCCCACGACGACGCTGTCGGCTCCCAAGGCACAGTCGGGCAAGTACACGACAGAGTACGGCATCCGGAAATTCATGGAAGAGTTCTCCATCGTCCGCGTCGAGGTGCCGCCCGGCGCGCAGGAGACGCTGCGCATTCCGGGCCCGGCGATATACATCGTGACGCGTGCGGGGCAGGGCGTCGAGCTCAGCGTGGGCGCGGACGAGCAGCGTGTGGTGTTGAAGGAGGGCGAGGTTGTGTTTGTGAAGCCAGGGAATGAGCTGAAGATGGCGGGTATGCAGGGCGGCGAAAACGTGGAGGTTTTTGGCGCGTATGCTGAGGCGTAGGGGACCGAGATAGTCAGCAAGATTGTATCATTAGGCATAGTAAATTTGTAGTCTATTCTATAACATAGGAACTTAAAAGATCATGAGATTTCATTTGCTCGACGTGTACGGAGCCTCTCCTCCAGTCTGCGGCGGCGAATGAGCAGAAGTCTGCCAGAAGATGTCATTTTTGATGGCGATTACCATATCCGGAAACAATGGCTTGGCTTTTGTACTTTTCTCCTCGGCGAGTTCTCGCCTACCGCTACCTTAACATTCGTGCTCTTCGGAAGCATGAACGTTCTGTTTAGTCGCTGATGATCTATCTGTGAGCATTACTCTGCCTCTTCAGCACAATCGACGTAACGAGGGTGGCAGCGATGAACAGGTTTCAATTTTGTGCTACCAGTTGGACCAGCATGGTCCGAAGGCTTCCACACTGCATCAATCCCGGGGACGAGTAGTCGTGTGCACCCCGCGTAAGTATAGTACATACAGAAGTCCCATCTAGGTCCCCGTCTACCAGGGGACGTGACCTGACTGCGAAATGACGATCGAGCTTCCATCGCGGAGCATCTACTCGCAGTATCTGTAGAAGCGGATCAGAACAAGATGCGAAAGAGGGAGGTCCGAGAAGATATAGAATGTAACAGGAAGAGGGGACGGTGTAAAGCTGAATTCGACATACCTCCGCTCGCCGAAGTCGCCTAGACCGGGGACGATGTACGCCTTCTCGTTCAGGCCCTCGTCGATCCAACCGGCGATAACTTTGAGTTTCGGGAAACGTTCCGCGAAGGCAGTGAGGCCTTCTGGGGATGATATCTGCAAAAAAAGGGGTCAGTGGGTGCATGATAGGTCTGAACGCATGCAACGCACCAAGTTGATGAAGATGATCCTCTCCTCAGCCACGCCAGCCTCCAGCAAAACCTCCACAGCCTTCATGGCGGAGCCTCCCGTCGCTGAAAGAGAGCATAAGACAGATGAAAAGTACGATCGAAGCAAACACGCACCTAGCATGGGGTCGAGCAGGAGCACATACCGCTCAGCGATATCGCTGGGCAGCTTCGAGAAGAACAGCTTCGGCTGCGCAGTCTCCTCATCGCGCTGGATGAGGATTTTCCCAATGCGCACCGACCGGCAGACCTCGCGCAGGCCAACCTCCATCGCCTCACCCGCGCGCAAAATGCTCACACCGCAGATCTTGCCGACGAAGCCCACACCCTCGTACGTGTTGCCCGTTGGTGTCTTCACTGTCCGCGGGACCACCGGCAGGTGGTTGAGGCCCTCCTCGACGAGCAGGCGGATGATACGGTCGGAGTAGAAGAGGAAGTCGCCGCGGTTCGTCTCCTTGTCGCGGATGATGGTGTAGAGAGCCTCCAGCTGGGCGGTTTGCGGGAGGGTGAAGACCGTCGGGGGCAGCGGCGAGAGGTGCATGCTGTTTGCGTTCGACTGCTGCGCCGGCTGCGGTGGTGCGGGAGGGGCGGACGAGGAGGACATGGTGGTTGCAGATGAAGATGTCGGGGAAGTAGACACCGATTATTATGCGCCTCGTGATCCCGCCGAATCCCTCAGGGGCCCCGCGGTGTTCCTTATCTTGATCCGCCTATGCCCTCTTCCGCTCCGTATTGTATTTCAAACAATGGAACTTCTGGAGGCCAAAAAGGGATCAATGACCACCGCAGGGGTCGAACCTGCAATCTCCTGATTACCGAGTCGTAGTCAGACGCGTTGCCATTACGCCAGGCGGCCAGTAACCTCGTTTGAGGAGAGACGTATATGTACAGAAAATCCGTTTCACGTCAAATTGTCGATACAGTCAAATATCTATCTGATTCCTTCTTACTCTCCCTTCCACTCATAAGCACGAATTTCGTTCGGGACGCATCCTCTATGCCTGCATCCTGTCTTAACCTACGCTAACCGGCATCAGCCATCCCGCAAAACATGCACTCTGCATGCACCGCGGCTTGAAGACACCTATCGGCATTCGCCATACCGTCGGACGAAGGCTCCGCGCTGGAGTCACGAGATCGGTTGATTTTGATGTGGCAAATGCCGAAGTAATGCAGCCACACAGACAGACAACGCCTTCCTTGCAGAACCGTTCATCGAATCATCCGGTACTAACTAATCATTCACCTCCAACATGATGCGGGGTCTATTAATTGAGCGCGTAAATTCTAAGGACATGTGTGTGTTTCCGTCTTCAGCACCAAAAGCTGCACAGTGCAAAGTCATAACCCAACTGAAGTCGAAGAAAGTTCGAGCACGATCGAGGCCTTGCTTCGCATCGAGCAAGAGACGCGCGGTGGGCGGGGGACGGCCAGGGGACGGCTTGAGTTAGTATACCAGTCGAACCTGCAGAGTGCGTGATTGTGAGAAAATACGCCCCTAAACGTACACGTGAAGTGAGAGCGCCCTTCGTCCCGACTTGCCTTTTACCAAGTCAATCGTACAGGCGCTTGAGTGCACGCGGCGCCTCTCTACCTGCCTCGGGCTTATAGCTCTGATTTGATCTCAACCATGCCTCGGCGACGTCACGCCCGCAACCAGCCCTCCGAGCGGCTGTATTCTCAGTCGGGCGCGTACGAGCTTCAGCCAGTCGCAGAAGACAGCACCCACCAAGACGCATATTCTTCGTCCTATGATGCCTATCCGAGGTCCCATGATACCTACCCCATGCCCTACGACGCCTACTCCACGTCCTCCGACTCCTCTTACGCTCAAGAGTACGTGAACGATACCCGCGAGGGCATCCAAGATCGCAAACTGCTCTTCTGCGAATACCTCTCGACAAACTATACCCTCGCAGAGCTCATCCAGGTCTGCGACGGCTGCCTGCAATACTCCGCGCGCTGCTGCCAGCACGACACGGGCAGCGCGTGCCACCACTTCCGCCTCATCTTCACCGACGGCGCGTGCGCCGGGAACGGAATAGTCGGCGCCAAGGCAGGTATGTACGTGGTTCGTAAACCCTATGTACAACGATATTTCATGTCCATTATTCAACGCATCCCGCCTCCCCTGCGCAGGCATCGGCATCGCGATGGGCCAGATCGGGCTGGGTATCGACCAGTTCAGCCTCCCGGTCACAGACGCGATGGATCCCGGCCAACGCCGCACGAGCCAGCGCGCGGAGCTGCTCGCCGCGATCCATGGCGTGCGCCGCGCGATGGAGGGCGACGTGCACGACTACGACGGGTACGACGCCTCCATGCGCAAGCAGCGCGTCATCGTCACCGACTCGGAGTACGTGGTCCGCGGGATCACCGAGTGGTTCCCGCAGTGGAGGGTGCGTGCTACTCGTATGCTACTTATGATACAAGTCCCGGGAGAGGAGACGACGGGCTGACGACCTGCCTGCAGCGCAACGGCTGGCGCACGTCCGTGGGCATGACCCCGGCGAATCTCGATCTGTTCCAGCTGCTCGATGCCGAGATCGAGTCACTGGAGACATATAATAATGCCCAGTTCGGCTTCTGGCACGTCCCGCGGGCACTCAACACTGCGGCGGACCAGCTCGCGCGAGCTGGCGCGGCAAGGGCTGCGAGAGAGGACATCTGAGCGAGCGAGAAAGCAGCACCGGGGCGGAATGGTGTGGACGGTGAATGGGAAATGCTCTGGGTAACGAGCGGTATTTGACTTGCAATTGACGAGTTTGGCATACCTCTGCACGTTCTCTTTACACATAGCTATTTTATACACATATAACGATTGTCTTCCGTTGCTTCTTCATCCCTTCAGCCCCTGGCTCGTCAAAGGGCACATCCAACGGCTTTGCTCGCAGCATACTCACATCCAAGAAACAAGATTGCCTTATACCATGCCAGCAAAAAAGATGCTTCCTTGAAAAGGGAAAAATTCTACCGTGAGAAGTTCATATGACCACCGCAGGGGTCGAACCTGCAATCTCCTGATAAGTCAACGATATCGAATCACATCGTAGTCAGACGCGTTGCCATTACGCCAGGCGGCCATAACAATAGCGTGATGCAAGTAGTAGATACTGGTTTATTGGGAGAAACAAGTTTCACTTGCAATGTGCAGTTTGACGACGGCGGACGCTGAACGTTTGAACGCTAAGTGTCAATGTAACCTAATGTGCTAGACTATCCGGCTTAAAGGAAGCTCTGACTTGAAGCGCAAGCAAGCCGGTTCCGCCAAAGTCGAACAACGGTCACGGGACGAGGTGGCGCGCGTCCGACAATGACCCAGCGATGAAGTCATGGCGCGTTCTACCGTTATGGCGTCGTCGCGTGCATCTTGCTTTTATTCCTGACCACCATCTTCATCCAGGACTAGCTTTACAACAACGACGACCAGCTTTACATCGACGACGACCAGCTTTTGATCGACAACCACAATGTCAGCCATCCGGTCAACCATGCGCCTCAACAAGCGCGTCTCCCGCCTATCCACCACCACCTTGTCATCCAGCCCCGCCCTGTCATCCACCACCACCGTCGCATTCGTGCGCACCAGGCACCTCCACGCATCCACCCCCTGCGCCAAAGCCGGCAAAGACGAGCGCCTCTCGCAAGGCAGCGCCGCGGCGGACAAGGACAACTCGCACCCGCAGGACCCGCACTCGCAGGCCGCGCGCAGCGGCAAGGAGCAGGGCGGGTCAGACGCGCCCCTCGACGCCGCGAGCGCGAAGCAGGGCGGGCAGGCGCAAAAGACGGGGACGAAGGCAGGCGAGCGGGACGCGGACGTGGGGATGGTGGAGCAGGTGGGGAGCGCGAGTGCGAGCGCGGACGACTTTGGGAAGGGAGGGAAGAAGGGGAAGGAGGAGCCGGCGGCGTCGGATTATGTTTGATGGAAGAGGTGAGTAAACATTCGGAGAGAGATTGGATGGCGCTGATGTTGATGTAGATGAACACGAGAGACGTTGCAAGTCCTTGTTTGCAAGACGCCAGTCTTTGCTTGTATCATAGATTCAGAGCCCGAACCAAGGGCCGTGTAATCCATCGTCTAGCCCTCATAAACCTCTGTACGTATCAGCTGTATATAAAGTCAGTGCCGCTTCATCCTCGTCTGGGATGAGAATAAGTAGCCCTCTGGTACTATGTAGGCGTACTTGCTCGAAGACAAGGTACCGAGGCCAACGCGAGCGGGGCCGGCTTGCAGAGATACTGGTGGAAGAAGAGCGGAGGCAGGAGCATTCATTTAGATAAAAATTAGACGGGCATATCCTGTTCTTCAGCTGGCCAAAGGACCCGCACAACCGCTTCTTCTTGGCAGATAATGGTTGTGGGTGTCGAATCAGAGCGGCACGTGATGCTATATAGCCTGCCCTAAAGTGAACTCCGACATCCGATCCGATAAGATTCCGCTTTTGGTAGGCCGCAGCTTACCCTTCGCCCAAATTCGAGCTTGACGAAGGTACGTTGCTCGTCGTCGTCGCCGCCGACGTCGCTGACGAGTTCTCGTGATTCTCTCCGATTTCTGCGCTTTTTTCGACGCGGTACCTTCAAAATCGACGGACATCGACAACAGCTCCTCCTGTCCACGCCAATCCCATTTCTACTTCCTCGAATTTACGAATAGCCAACGATGGAGGACGAGGTCGCTGCTCTCGTAGGTGTTTAGTACGCGTCGAGGGCGCGCAGAGCGCTGACGAGAACGCCCAGGTTATTGATAACGGCTCCGGCATGTGCAAGGCTGGCTGTAAGTGACACGTTTTCCAGACGATTCCAGATTGACTAACGCCTCACGCAGTCGCTGGTAATGCTTCTCCACGCTCTAACACATACCTCACGAGCTCACCGTCGACCTAGGTGACGATGCTCCTCGCGCTGTCTTCCCGTGAGTACCCGACGCGATCTCGTGGTATGCCCTGCCTAACCGCGAACGCCCTCTAGCTCCATTGTTGGTCGCCCTCGGCACCAGGGTGTCATGGTTGGTATGGGCCAGAAGGACTCCTATGTCGGGTGCGTGTTTTTTTTGCTTTGGTCGTCGCGGAACGTGCTAACGTCACCGCAGTGACGAGGCGCAGTCCAAGCGTGGTATCCTCACCCTCAAGTACCCGATCGAGCACGGTATCGTCACCAACTGGGACGACATGGAGAAGATCTGGCACCACACCTTCTACAACGAGCTGCGTGTCGCGCCCGAGGAGCACCCCGTCCTCCTCACCGAGGCGCCGCTCAACCCGAAGGCGAACCGCGAGAAGATGACGCAGATCATGTTCGAGACGTTCAACGCGCCTGCGTTCTACGTCGCCATTCAGGCCGTGCTCTCCCTCTACGCCTCCGGTCGCACTACCGGTATCGTGCTCGACTCCGGTGACGGTGTCACGCACACAGTGCCCATCTACGAGGGTTTCGCGCTCCCGCACGCCATCCTCCGTCTCGACCTTGCCGGCCGTGACCTCACGGACTTTTTGATCAAGAACCTCATGGAGCGCGGCTACCCCTTCACGACCACGGCCGAGCGCGAAATCGTGCGCGACATCAAGGAGAAGCTGTGCTACGTCGCCCTCGACTTTGAGCAGGAGCTCCAGACCGCGGCGCAGTCCTCGGCGCTCGAGAAGAGCTACGAGCTTCCGGACGGTCAGGTCATCACCATCGGTAACGAGCGGTACGTGGATCGATGGTGGATGACAGACGGTGGACTGACGAGCCTCGTAGCTTTCGTGCCCCCGAGGCGCTGTTCCAGCCGGCCTTCCTCGGTCTTGAGGCCGCGGGTATCCACGAGACGACGTACAACTCGATCTTCAAGTGCGATCTCGATATCCGTCGCGACCTCTACGGCAACGTCGTCCTCTCCGGTGGTACGACCATGTTCCCGGGTATCGCGGACCGTATGCAGAAGGAGCTCACCGCGCTCTCGCCGTCGTCGATGAAGGTTCGTTCATCAGTGTTTTGTTGCTACCTTGAGCGCCGCGGTTGCTGACACCCCCCGTTTTTTTCAGGTCAAGATCGTCGCGCCGCCCGAGCGCAAGTACTCGGTGTGGATCGGTGGTTCGATTCTTGCCTCGCTGTCCACGTTCCAGAACTTGTGGTGCTCGAAGCAGGAGTACGACGAGTCGGGCCCGGGTATCGTCCACCGCAAGTGCTTCTAAGCGCGCGGCCTAGGATGCCTTTGAGCACGCTGCTCGGAGCGCCTCTGAGTACGCTGTTCGGAGTACCTCGCGCGGCTAGGAGTGCGGCTAACGAAGAAAGAGCTTGGGTTGTGGACTTTACGTATATGGCTTTTATATTTTTTAGTTCGACTGTAGGAATGGAAATGTCCCTTCGCCTTCGGTTTGACGCTTGGTTTGACCGATGTCCGTTGGTCTGAACGTCGTCCGTTGGTTTGAACGTTCTCCGTTGGTTTTGACGTTGTGCGTTGGTTGTTGGAGCATATAAGACCTGCTGATGGCAATGCATCATCATGAGTGTTTGGTCCAGGTTTGGTCTGGTGCGCGGCATGTAAGTCTGTTCTCAGTCCGTCGTAAGTCCGGCGGTGGCGGCGTCGAGTCCTTGATCTTGGCTTTCCTGCTGCATCCCTCATGCCTGGCCCGAACATTGGCAAGCTGGAACAATTTTGGGTGGACCATCATGCCTTTCTCGAACGTCGAGGCTATCGACTACGGCCCCGTTTCGATCCTGCTCATGTACCTACACGTGAAAGCGTCAAGTGGTATCAGCCGACCCCTCCCTTCCCAGAGGACGAAATCATTAGCTTGGTGCGTAGTCCTGCTATTCCTCTAGCATGTTGTCGCCTAAAGTAGAGATTTAGCGTCCGGCTGTTCTTGACGCGGTCCGCATAGTCGATGGGCTAACCGTCGTGCTTCGCAAGGCAGCGACGTGGTCGGACGAAGTACCCATACTTCGTCGTCTCAATGAGCTACAGTCCGATCCTCGCAATCGCATAGTGCCTGTTCTGGATCTCATTCTTCTTCCCGATTCTGACGAACATGTCCTGCTTGTCCTCCCCCTTCTCCACGACTACTTTGATCCCCCGTTCACAAGTCCCGAGCAGGTCATAGATGCTGTGACACAGCTTCTAGAGGTACGCTACCTGTAACAGTCGCAGTGTATATGCTTACACGCAAGTACAGGCGATGCAGTTTCTTCACGAACACGACGTTGCTCACAGGTCAGTTAGGCCGTTACCAACCGCCCTTCTCATACTTACAACGGCACAAGGGACTTTTGCACATATAACCTTATGCTGGACCCTTCGGAGCTCTTTCCTGAGGGCTTTCATGTCGCCCTACCACGTCTTTCTCCCGATGGCCAAACCTTTGGCCTAAACTTCCGGAATCGCGCGGATGTTAGTCCTGCCCAATACTTCGTGATCGATTTCGGACTGGCGACGCAGTTGCCTTATCGCAACTCGTGGGCCACAGGTGTCTTCGGCGCGGACAAAACCGTACCAGAGCTTTCCTGGGAGACGCCATACAACCCTTACAAGGTTGACATCTATCAGTTCGGCAGCGTCATCATGTGCGATATGGTTGAGGTGAGCTGAAATCAATCTCGCTACATGCCATGTACACTGTGTTTACCGACAATAGGTGTATAACGGCCTCGAATTTCTGCGTCCTCTAGCGGAGGAGATGACGCAAACGGATCCGAATAGACGCCCAGATGTCGATGCATCTCTTGCACGCCTGCAAGAGATCGTCAGACATCTGCCTGCAGCTGAGCTTCAGCGAGATATCTGGCCCGTGAACTACACACCAATGCTCAGTTTCACCTCTCGCCCGCGGCGTGATTGTTGTGGCTAACTAGACGCGACGAAGGTCTGATCGCTCTTGTGCGGTAGAGAATCAGTCTACGCTGTATAACCGATAGCGAGGATAAAAGGGCTTTACGTCTATGTATGACATGCGACGCGGCACCTCCCCGACGGGAGGCACAGCAGGCGGCTGATGATAGCACGTGACCGCGTCTCGCTTGTCTCTCGCTTCCTGCTTCCGCTCATGCAGTCGTCGTCCGCGACAGCCCCCTCCATACTCCTAACCGCGCGAAATGTCGCGCGGACGCT